CCCCCCCCCCCCAAAAATATATATTTAAAAAAAAAAAAAAGAACTCAAAAACCATCCTTCTCATTTCATGAGAAATTTAGTTTCTGGAGCGTTGTTGTCTATTCACCAAAGGCAATATCTTCAATCAGCTGCATTAAGACAAAGTCATGTTACCATTGCTAAATCACTTGTAACATATCAATGAACAAGAAACCAAGTGGTACTACAACCCTACCGGCATTTGGTGAAATAAGAAGTGTCTTTGCCAATAGCACCAAGCATTCTACAAGCTACTTCCAACAGTTTCCCTGTTTGTTTCAATAAAAACAATAAACACCTTTATTAAGTCAAAGTCCATCACAACAATCACACACTCTAATCTCTTCATGATTGTCCCCTTGCATTATACTAATATGTACTTTACAAAAAGCTATCAACAAAATTATACAATAATTTAAGCTAACTAACCACTTGAAGATGGGAAACGTGACAATATGCTTATAGCCAGCTTAGCTAAGAGCTATGATCAATCACACACACCCTTCTTTGATTCTTGCTTGTGTTTACTATCATCCAATATTCTTCTAATCTTAACTACTAGACTTTCACATAACAACCATTCTCAAAATCTAATTTATCCACCTAAACCCAGTTGGATTATATCAAGGCTCAAATAACGAATCAACATGCGTTATCATCTAAACTTGCCAATTCTAAACGCAAATACAAAATCAATGATTAATCAACGTGTACCTCTTCTCGGTTGAACAACTTTCTTAACCGGTTTCTTAACCGATTCAACAACCTCCTCCTCTTGAGGGAACAAAACACCATCAATCCCCTGAACCGAGATCCGACCGTCCGTATAAATATCCGGATCAAACAAATACGCCGACCTCTCACCGTCCCCAAACTTAACCGAACCATCAGCTTCCTTAGCCGCAACCTTATGAGGAAAACGCAGCGTTTCAAACCTCACCTTCCCAAACCTCCTCACAGAGTTATACATACTCTCCTCCGTCTGATACTCAGGGATAATATGGTAATACACTATCTGCTCCGGCGCTCCAGGCTCACTCAGCTGATCAGTCGTCAACTTCGCCATCGCCTCGTCGTTGGGGGCAAGAACCGTCAAAACATAACCTTCCGACACCAACCGACCCATCTCCGTCGCGAGCGACGTCAGGTTCACGAGAATGTCCGCCATCTCGTTGTAACCGCCGTAATGCAGCAGCGTCTGGATGAAGTCCTTGACCTGAGCCTCGCCGTCGAAGTGGTGGTGCTTGCCTCCCGGTCCCGGCGCCGGCGCCGGAGCTAGCGACGGACCTGGAGCCATGGCGGATTTGATCGGGAGAGACGGCGGGGCTCCGGCGGGTACCGGAGCGGGTTTTTTCTTGAGACGGTTTGTTCTCGGGTCGACCTCCGGAGCTCCTTCGGGTAAGACGGCGGAGATTGATCGGAGACTACGGCGGCGGTTGAAATCTTCTTGGACTGAGCGTGGGATGAGAAGCCGTTCGATCCCGTGGATCAACCCGTCGGGTCGGGTCAAGTCGTCGGGTCGGGTTATCTCGGCGGAGTCGACCATCTTTCTGCCGTCTCCGTTAATCAAATGGAGGTGATCGTTCGCTAGCGTCTCGTGCTTGACCCGACCCGGTTCCTCGATGGGCCATTGATCCGACCCGACCCGGGTGGGGATAATGTGGAACATGAGGAGTGTTTGGAGAGATTTGAGGTTACCTGGCTCGAGCAAGAAACGTTTGAACTCTGGGTCAAGGTCACGCTCTAGAGCTTCGTTGCGAGGGGCGAAGATGGTGATGTTGTGGCGACCAACGGCTTCTTCGAGTGTCTGAAGGAGGAGAGCCTTCTCGACTAGCTCGGAGAGTTCTGTGTAACGTGAGTCGAGGAGAGCTACGAGGACGGAGTTGGAGTTGATCTGACCCGACCCGGGGGAGGGATTTAGGTTCTTGGATAATGCAGATGTGGAGGAGAGGAGGAAGAGGAGGAGAATGAGATTGGTGACGGTGGAGCCACCGTAGATACGGCGATCCATGGAGTTCTGTTAGATCGAATAATCAGAAAGAGTTTATTTTTTCTTTTATTTTTATTTTATTCTTAGTGTCGGCGATGGCAAGTGGAAGTGAGAGAGATGAGTTTGGTTGTGTGTAGTTTTGGGTTTTTAGACCTTTCGGACCAGGCTGGTGTAGGGACCACTCTAATGTTCGCTGCTGTCTGCTGACTTTAGTTTTTTAACTTCGTCTCCACTTAGCTCGGCTTAAATTCCTTTTTAAGTTTTGTTTGTTTGTAAGCAAAAATCTAGAAACTTCACAGAAACATATGTAATTAGGTATAGGGAATCTAGGAATGTGTAGTTTATTTTGGTACATAACTTACAGTGAAATTAAAGAGAAGGGGAAAGCTAAAAAGAGGCGTGTGAGATGAGTGAATGTGATTTGGAAGCAAAGGGTAAGCCGAGTAACGCGTGGGCTCTAAAAGGAAAGCTGTCGGTTTGGGACGTAAACATCAATCTAAATAGTAAATACACCTTTTGGGTTTGTGAACGTAATCTCCCCCATCGGAAACTACTGTCAGTCTGTCACGTGCCCTACGTGAACGTAAAGTCACGTCCAAAAGAAGCATTCTACAGCCTTTTTTCTCTGTGACCTCCAGAGAAATTTAAAAGGGTTTTTGATAACTAAGTTGGGCCACTTCGCCCGTTTAACGCATTTCGTTATAGTTTGGAGTTTTTCGGTGCTAATGAACCCCTTATCGTAATCAGGGCTGTGCGGCTGTGCCTAACTTTACTAATAGCAGAAGTAGTAAAAAAAATTTGGCCCTCAAAATAGCATTTAGTGGGTTCAAACCAATGAACATGACAAATATAACAGTCTATTTAACCACTGAACAAACAATGATTTTTGTCAAATTAGCTCCTAAATGACTTATAAACATATTGACCCTAAGCACATGTTTGATTAGCTAGTCAGACACGGCCCTAATCGTAAATTTGGATTTATTAGTAGTGAGGTGAGGTTTTCACAAATGTAACCAAACAAACTTGCACAAATATTTTTAAATATATATTATATATAACCGTAAGTGTATATTGAAATTATTTTTTATTGACCAATAAAAATCAGTTTATTATCTTACAAATTATTAGAAAATATTCATAAAATTACACCAATATATTACCAAATCTCATAAAAGACAATGCAAATATGCCAGTAACTGCAAATATGAACCCAAAAAAAAATTGAATCTAAATAAAATTAAAGGCCCATTATATACACCGGCCCAATATTCTCAAAGCAAGAACAAACGATGCCACATGAAACCTACTGTTGGCACCTGTCCCATCCCCTCTCTCTCTCCCTTTAATTATTTTCTTAACGACAAAGGAAGTATGGGGGAAAACCGAAGTCATATTTAGCATCAATTCAATACATTCTCTCTCGCTTGAAGATAAGTTGAAGAAAAGCATCACAGTTCCGTCTCTTCTACGGCGTTGCAGAGAATCTAAGCGATGGGTCTTCTCTCCAACAGGTTCCATCTTCTCCCCCTCTTGATTCTCTTAGACTGTGTTTCTCCGTCTCCTCACGAAGTTTGTGTATCGTTTGAATAGGATTGATAGATCAAGTTTGAAACCTGGTGATCATATCTACTCGTGGAGAACTGCTTACATCTATGCCCATCACGGTATCTTCCTATTTTGTGTCTTAACTAATGAATTTATCTTTGCATTTGTAAATTTTTGATATAACTATAACTGTTAATGTTAAAATCAATCTGATATGATGTTTCAATTTGAGAAAAATTAGGGTTTTGTGAGGGATTTAGACAGTGATTTAGGGTTAATGTTGAGCCTGATTCACTAGATGTAATAACCAAATCAGAACTTGTTTTGTAATTCGTGTTAATAATATGCTTGGTCCTAATTAGACTATGATTAATCCAAGATTTTTAGTATAAGGTTTTTAGCGGAAAATAAGAAACTGTTTCTTAACTTTTAACTAAAAACGCTAAGAATCCGTTCTTAAATAAAGACTTTAAGAACCGGTTAATCATGCTCTCACTAAATGTAATAACCAAATCAGAACTTGTTTTGTTACATAGACACTAGGTTATGTAATAATTTTTTATTTTATTTTTGTAAGTAGGTATCTATGTTGGAGATGATAGAGTCATCCATTTCACAAGACGAGGCCAAGAAGTTGGAACCGGAACAGTTCTCGATCTCATACTAGTAAGCTCAGGCCCATCACGAACCCACACGCACTGTCCAACATGCGTACCACCGAACGAAGGCCACGGCGTCGTTTCCTCGTGCCTAAACTGTTTCCTAGCCGGTGGCGTCTTGTACCGCTTTGAGTACTCCGTCACCGCCGCTCATTTCCTCGCCAAAGCCCGTGGAGGAACCTGCACACTCGCCGTCTCTGACCCTAATGAGATAGTTGTCCACCGTGCCAACCACCTTCTTCAGAACGGGTTTGGTTGCTACGACGTTTTCAAGAACAACTGTGAGGATTTCGCCATTTATTGCAAGACGGGGTTGCTTGTTCTGGAAGGAAGGACGATGGGACAGAGCGGTCAAGCTGTGTCGATTATCGGTGGGCCGATCGCTGCGATTTTGTCTACTCCGATGAGGTTTGTGACTACGAATATCTATGGGATGGCGGCGACAGCGGTTAGTGTGTACTGTGCGAGTAGGTACGCTACTGATATTGGTATGAGAGCTGATGTGGCTAAAGTTGAAGTGGAGGATCTCACAAGGAGGCTCTCTGTGGGGTTGTTCCAAGTAATTGAGCCTACTCCAGTGGCAGCTGCAGCTGCAGCTTTGCCAACAACCACAAGTTGATTGATAAGCTTAAGCTTTCATCTGTTGCTTCTTGTTTCAGTGATGTATCATGTGTTTTCAATTACCACTCGTGTTCAAAACACTCTAATAAGCATAACATGTTCTTGTGTACTTTTGTATGTTTCTCTACACTACATGAACAATTGATCCTTGTGTCAAATACTGTTGATGTCGGTTTTATGAAAATTATACTATCAAAATATAAACCGTTGGTGCATTTCGGTTTGTTTGGGATAAATGCGGTTTACTGTGGTTCGAATTGTGTTATTTTAGTATATTTTTTCACATAAGTTTGGATTTTCAAGGCAAGTCAATGGAAAGAAACTAGCTTTTGATGTATTTGAAAGGAGAAAAAGTGAACAAAATATTACCAAAAGATAATATTCCTCAAACAAATAGTGTACAATTTCCAATTCCATAAATGAAAAATGTACAATTCTATTTCCTCGGAAGCTTTTTATATATCATCATATTCTATTTTAGCATGAATTTCCATTTTTTCTCTGAAGTTCATTAAGTTTTTTATTCCACGTAACCAATACGTATAAAACCCTACCATAAGTTCATCACCAAGAGTATATGTACTTTGCATATACCTAGGATCCTCAACTTCTCTCTTCCACCAACCACCGTAATCACCACTAGAATTCCAATATGCCCGTAAAAGAATGTGGCTCTCACGGAAGCAACTCACCCCGCCTACTCAACTTCATCCGACGTCGTATTATCTTCATAGTAATATTAACCATCGTAACCATCATCATAAGTGTCCTAACTTATATTATGCTTCATCCACCAAAGCCACGTTTCATCCTCCAAGACGCAACCGTCTTCACCTTCAACGTCTCAGGCAACCCACCGAACCTACTCACCTCCAACTTACAAACCACTCTCATCTCTCGCAACCCTGACGGCAAGACAGGAATCTACTACGACCGTCTCGACGTATACGCTTCTTACCATAACCAACAGATCACTCTCGCGACAACCATTATGCCGACTTATCAAGGACACAAAGAAGTCATCGTTTGGTCTCCTTTCATCGGTGCAAAGTACGCCCCCATCGCTCCTACCAACGGTTTGTCTCTTGTTGAGGAACAGTCAAGTGGGGGAGTAAAAGTGTTGGTTCATCTTGTCGGGAAGATTCGTTGGAAAGTTGGGCCTATCACCAGGACGACGAGACTCTTTGTTAGGTGTCCGGCGTTAATCAGTTTCGGGGATAGCGCAGCAGGAACTGTCCTCGTAGGAGGTAGAGGGGTTAAGTATACGCTTGTTACTGTCTGCAGTGTTAGTGTCTGAAAAGCGATGGCTGACTTAACGGTGACGGATATGTGATCATGTCACGGATTTTTTTACGTGGGGATATTAATGATTTTGTAGCAGTTTATTTTTACCATGAATTTTACATTCGGTTGCTAATGTAGTTTTTTATATATTAAGTTTTGATGATAGGCCTTTCTTATTTAAGAAAAAATTGTAGCATTTTGAAAGCAAGTCTTCACCTAATCTTCGTCTGCTATTACATACAAGTCTTTGCTAATTTTTTATTTTCTGTAGAATTTTGCGACATTTTTTTTTTAATAACTGGCATATCTTTTGTATAAGCTTGTTGATAATCTTCATTCATTTTCTAACTATTGCTCCAAAGATTTTTTTTTTTTCCAGTTTCCAAAAACGCTAGCTTGGGTACTCTATCTCAACATGAATTTCTCACCAGTAATATAAACATTTAATTTGAAATATTTTTAAAAAAATTATGTGAAATTAATTTATTTTTAAATATTCACATAAATTTCTCATTTTAAATTAATTATGAATATAATTAATAAGAAAATCAATATTTCCAATGAGGATGGTTTTAGAGCATAGCTCTTAAGGAAGTTTCTTGGAAGATTACATTGTAAATATGTCTCTCTTTACAATTCCCAGACCAACTACTACACGAAGGATCACTACATTCCCACATGTATACATCTCCATTGTCATTATACAAATATTCACGTATACGACCAATGCCCCGTTAACGACCAAATTATCTTTCTTTTTTTTTGTATCTTGAATTTAAATATTTAACAAATAGGTGTTTAATTAACCGATTTTTTTTCTATATTTAGTTATTTACTATTTATTTTGAACAAAAAAAATTACATAGTCAAACAAAAGAGGGTAAAAATGAAAGTAAAAACTGAGAAACCATTTTAAATGTTTACTAAATTGTTATTCATAAACATTTATGAAGTAAGAACTGTGCCGTAACCCGGAAGTTAACCTCTAGTTAGTCAATTCACCTTACACTATAAAACGCGCGCGTCACCTTTGACTTTGAAAAACAAAACTGCGTCAGTTTAATCGTTTTATCTAATACACGCTATCTCTACACTGTATAAATACACCCTCTTGTTTCTTACACTCAAATAACAACCCCTTTTATACTTTCTCGAAACATTACACACAAACAGAAACTTAAGAGTCATTTCATCTAACCAATGGGGGACAGGCAACCGCATTTGAACGGTGCCTACTACGGACCATCGATTCCTCCGCCGACAAAAACCTCTCACAGCCACGGCAGACGCGGCGGTGGATGCTGCTGCTTAGGTGACTGTCTCGGCTGTTGCGGTTGCTGCATCTTAAGCGTCATCTTCAACATCCTCATAGCCCTAGCTGTTGTCATAGGCATAGCCGCTTTGATCATCTGGCTAATTTTCCGACCAAACGCCATCAAGTTCCACGTCACCGACGCTAAACTCACTCAGTTCACACTCGGCACGGACAACAACCTCCAATACAATCTAAACCTCAACTTCACGATCCGAAACCCTAATCGACGTATCGGTGTTTACTATGATCAGATTGAGGTCAGAGGCTATTATGGTGATCAGCGTTTTGGAGCTAGTAACATCTTGCCGTTTTACCAGGGACACAAGAACACGAGTGTGGTTGGAACTAATCTCGTGGGACAGAAGTTGGTGGTGCTTAACGGTGGAGATAGGAGGGATCTTGAGGAGGATGTGAAGTCAGGGATCTATAGGGTTGATGCTAAGCTGAGACTTAAGATTAGGTTTAAGTTTGGTTTGATCAAGTCGTGGAAGTTCAGGCCAAAGATTAGGTGTGATCTCAAGGTTCCGCTCGGTTCCTCTAATTCAACGAGCGGGTTTCAGTTCCAGCGGACCAAGTGTGATGTTGACTTTTGATGTTATTCAAAGTCAATGTCCTTATTTCCATTTGTATACACTTATTTATTTATTTGGTTTAGATTTGCTTTCTTCATTTTTTATGTGATATCGTTGGAGAGGTATATGGCTTGTGTAATAATCATTTATCGTATGGTTCGATGTAAATAAAATGTTTATGTTTATATTTACGTTTGCTAAATTCATAAATGCACGTTAACACGATCAATCATCAATCATAAAGTTTCTCCAGCTAACGCCAAATTAACGTCGTTTGTCAAATGGACATTGGTGATTAGTGCCAATAAATTACAGACACCAATATCATTAACGACATGAACGTCCTTACGATTTGTCGCACATTATATAGTCATTGTTTGTTAGTAACTCAGTTAACACCGTTTAGTTTATGAATGTTATTGATTTAATTTAATGCGTCTGATCGGTCATGATTTCTAATACCATTTCTCAGTGTGTCTTGCCTACGTTTATTGACGAGTTTAATGGATATCACTAGGGATGTTAAAACAGGTACACTGTCCGCCGGCTTAACGAGTATGGCTTAACGAGTTTAATGGATATCACTAGGGATGTTGATTTTGTATATATCATCATCATAATCAGCTGTTAAGGACTTTAATAATTTTTAATGGCACATGCTTTTCCTAAAATTATTTTTATTGTATGGTCAAAATACTCTGCTTCCTTGCCTATGCCTTTTCACCAAACCTTTGTTGATTTGTTGTACCAAAGCCTCTAAATAACTCAAAAGTGATGTCTATAGTTTATACAAGAGTAGACGAGTGGTGGAAGTACAATGAACCACAACGACATTGAGGTGGTGACTATACTGGGTCGGGATCTTTGCTATTTTATTTATGTTATTCTTTTATAAGGTGTTAAGAGCAGGATTATCGGGATACATTTTGAGGGTTCTTACTAAAAAGTAGAGGGTGGACTCCATTGAAATGTCCAAGAACCGGTTGCAAAAATACTGAAATAAATACCGAGTTTTGTAATGTTCGCGGATCTCACTAATACGTGGCAGTCCGCGATTAGTTCTTTTTTATTTTTATTTTAATCTGACCAAAAAAATAAGAATCTCAAATGAGTTTTAGCGTTAATCATGTTCTAAGACCATCCGCAATGGCGGATCCTTGGGGGAATCCTTAGGAAAAAATGGTATTTCGGATTATATAAGGATATTTCAGATTTTTTCTTAAAAAAATAAAATTGACCACTCACGGACCGCCACGTGGACAGTGGAGCCCGCGAATAATGTAAGGATCAATCATTACATAAGGATTTTAAGGATAAAATTCTTAACTGTTCATGAAACCCATTGATTATAAAATTAATATTTCCCTAAAGATTCTTCCCAAGAATCCGCCATTGCGGATGGTCTAATGGGTTAGTATTTCCAATTTCACTTCATTTTCATTTTAAAATAAATTTTAGGGTAAAAATATTCATTTTTTTACAATAGACTAAAAATTAAATTTTCTCGATATATAGAATAATCTGTTTCTTTTGTTTTGTTTATCTTTTATTTTAAAATACAATATCATTAGAATATAACTAAGCTATATTATAGAATTATTTTATTTTAAAGGATCAAAAGAAAATATAATAAAGCATTTGAAGATGGTTTTAACACTTGTAGCTGAACTTGTGAGACCAGGTGGCCTAAACCACTTAGCCAGATATGCTGGTCAGAAATCCATATACATTCATCTTGTTTAGGTGGTCAAACAATAGGACTTTTTCAAGGTTCCTCACTAATGAAATATGTTAAATAAACATATACATTTTGTTAAATTGGATAAGTTAAGTATGTTAGAAGCGTAATTTAATTCTGGAAAATATAAATATTTACAATTTGACAGTGGCTACATCAATTTAATATACCAAGCACCTCTTTCAAAAAATAAAATATCAAGTACTAATCAAGTATTAGGAAAATAATGATTATTTTGGTTGGTTGGATATCCGAATATATAACATGTAATCTTCACACCCACTTCTATAATATATCTTTGTCTGAATATGAAGTACTTTATATATAAAAAAATTTGCAATTATTAGCTAAATATACACACACATACTTGGATGGTATCTTATATAGTGAATGACTCACATCCAATCAATAATTATTCAGAAAATACAAAGAAAGTAAACGTCTCTCTATTATAAGCAAAAGATAATGACAAATGTCTACATTATAGACATCAATGATTAAACATCATATATTTACACACAAACCCACTCAGCCACAAACACAAAGACAAGAAGAAGAAGAAGACTATGGAGATTCCACCACTCCGCCGTAGAAACTCCATATCCACGTCAACACCTACGATCGAATCGTCCACTAAACCGACGTCGTTTCAGTTCGAGCTCATCTCGCTGAAACCACCCTCTTACACATCTCTCAGAGATATCATCTCATCATCTCCAAGTAACTCCTCCGTCAACTTACCGTCTATTAACGGTAGCAGCTCTCCTGTTTTATCCACCGTGGGAGATATATCGATACGCAACCCCTTAGTAAAGCAAGCTGCTCGGTCTTATCTCCAGTCAACGGCGTTAACTTCATCGGAAGACTCGCCTGAGTGGTCTCTGTTCCTCCGCCGCGTATGGCTCCACTTCTCCGCGGGGATACAGTTCTTGAAACGTATGTTTGATTGGTTGCTCCGATCAATATGTATTCAACCTCAGATTGTTAAGTAGCTTGCCACACACGTTTGATTTGTGTTTCAGAAGTTGAACACAAGTGTTTGTATACAATAAAGTGTTACCAGAATAAAAAATGCTTTCGATTTCTTGAATTCTTCAAAATATCTTATTACATAAAGTCTCCAAGACATAACTATGTTCCTATAATGTAAGGTTGAGTAGAGTGTTGCTTGTAAAGACAATGGAAGAAAGAAGACTCTGTTTCAGTTTGTCAGTGTGTTGAATCAACAAAAGCCCATGAAGGTCTTTAGATCTGCTAAGTAGAATTAGGCCCACCGGCCCAATTAGACGCAAGTCTGCTCATCTTTAAAAGCGTTGAAGATATGGAATTGATGTTAGGTTGGTGTAGGTTTAAATTCAATTCATGTTCAGAACTTGGAACATATGTTTAACATGGTATGCATGTTTTGTATGAACTTGAATACATATGGGTGATAGGAAATTTAAAGAGCTTATATATTTATCACAAGGTTATTACATTTCATAATTTTAGTTATTTCTTTACCACGTGGAAATAATTTCTTTCTACTATTTATATATTTAATATTCAACAATTTATTCGTTTTATTAATGATGGTAATGCAAGAAATGAAGAACAATTCAAGTTTAATGTTCTGACAGTATAAGTATTGCTCCTCATATAAACTGATACGAAAGATGTCAGTAAGAATTGAGAAAATATAACAAAGAAAACTATTGAAGTTTAAATGTGTACTGCACTCACAATAAAGAATACCATCATAAGATTTCAACTACTCAGATTTAAATGCATTTATAGAAGCAATAACAAAATAATTAAGTAGAAAGAAACAAATATAGAAATTTAAAAGTATGGCATACCCTCTTTAAAGCTTGGTCAAGTAGGATGCTAGTGGCAAAGACGTTAACGATCATCTTAAAGAACAATACACTAATGCTAATCTTAAGCAGCGCGGGCAACATCTTGAAAACGAATTATAGTGTAAGACGTACGTTCTGCAGGATCTACCACTATATGTGATCATAAACGTTTATGAATAATATGTTTAAATTGTCAATAAGTGATTATGGTGACACCTAATTTTTCTTAGATATACGACTGTGACTTGTCACAACATATAAATTTCGTGGACGGCGAATCGTGTGGGCTAAGAGTTTTGGACGTGGACTTACCACATCGAGATACCTGTCTAGATAACACATTTGTAACTAGTAAGGCTAGATATGTATTGATATATATCTTGAGAGCCAATAACTAATTAAGCTAACTATTGACATTTATCCATCAATTTGTCAGATTAAGAGTAAAATGGATTGCACCAAAGCTTACGAAAAATAAGAGTAAGATGAATTTTGCATGCTTTCTACTTATGGACGTGCAATTGCATGGACGTTTTACGCTATTTATCTGTTTACCAAATACCTCTTAGACGCGACGGTCCTCAAATATCTATGGTGGGGCTTCTTATTTGCGAATAGTCCCACACCAAATCTACTATTTCACTCTATTTATCTCCCTCCAAACGCTAATCTATCTACTCGATCTTTTCATCACTCACATGTCTGCTCAAGTCATCATGAATTTCACATAGTCACATATACACTTCTGTAATATCCGATCTAAATATGATTAGATGATCTATATAGTAGAGATAGATGGAACTGGTAGATTTAACAAGAAACTACCGGTCATAAATAAAACAATTCTTTAAATACTACTTTACTAGAGTCTAAATGGTGTATTAGAGCATTTCTAATGTACAACTCTATTTTTTTCTTTTAAAATGGAGTAAAAATGATTATGGAGTAAAAATGCTTTAACCTCACTCTATTTCTAATTTTGAAGTAGTGAACAAAAGAAAAAATAGATTACTCTATTTATGGAGTAAATCTCATTATGGATTAAGAAATGAAGTGGAGTTAGAGCAATTTTTATTGCATAATCACTTTTATTACATTTTGAAGTAAAAAATGGAGTTGTATTGGAGATGCCCTAAAGAAAGTAGATTAATCGAGGAATGTTTTCAACTAAGCAAAAATAAACTTCTTCTTCTCTTTGTGCTGGGCCTAGGGAAAACACATTTTCATTCGCTAACACGAATCATAACTTCAATTAAACGCAACCCGTTGTCTAACGATATTTATTTCTACTAGACCCATGATTTATTTTCGAGAACTCGTTAATAACTCTCTTTTGAAAAGTTATACGTAAAGAAACAAAGAAAATCTCTACAGTTTGGTTGATCTCAATTCTAATAACCTAAATGAAGTTAATACCAACTAACTAGTTTGGTTCTATGTGGGGTTATAAGTTATAAACTCTATGAGCGTATAATGTTAATCAAATGATCGGCATAACCGAGAGAAAGTGAGAGGTAGGAAGCAAGAATTGAATAAGGGAAGGAGAGAAATAAAATAAAATTGGTAGCATCATCATGATCATGATAATAATTAGTTGTTTATTTCTTTGAAGAGGTGAGCGAGACGAGAGCAATGAAGGTGAAATTAAAGTCGTCTCTATAATCTGACGTAACGCTCATTACAATTCACAACTGTCTCAATTACTATTGCATTTATATTTTGGTTTTAATGATCTCTAAATCTTAACATTTTGAACAGCTGTTATGTATAAATTGATGCACCTTCCTCTGATTTTATTTAAATGCTCTGAACTACTTTCCTCTACGATTTTTAACCAGTTTTCATCTTTTTATTTTTTGTACTTCTCGTCGGCATATTTTTGTATAGATTTTACCATCTTAGCATTTTACATGTTTGCATGCTCAGAAGCACCTAATCTAACTATATATAGATATTATAAATGAAAAATTACATTATATCACATTTCTTCTCTGATAATTGTTGTTTTGCCATTTGCACTCACGTTCTAGATTTGTTTACTTTTTGTCTTTACTCAAACATGCAATTGTTGAGGACAAAAAAATCTTGTTATGGATTCTTTTGAGTTAACATAAAAAAAAAAAATTAAAAGAACATGAAAAACAAGGGAAAAATCAGGGTTGTGTATGAGTTTTCATATAGTATAATACAAAACGCGTTTATAATTCTCTTATACCATCTGAGAAACAGAGTATCCCAAAAACATTTGGAATCTAACTTAGATCATCGATTTTGTTAAGAGGGTTGCCAAGAAATGGATGGTTAAGACGATTTATAAGAACTCAGGAGTAGAGTACGGAGACAATAACACACATTTTTCACATACAGATAGATTCTTCTTCCATTAGATAACCAAATGGTAGAAAAATGTTAAGAAAAGATACGAAAAAGGAAAGTTAGTGCTATTCACGCTCCACCCTTTTTGATTTGAAGTTTAGTGAGAATGAAAACCCTAGTTTCATCTCTTACCTTCTTATCCAAGTTTATAAAGTGGAGCGTAAATAGCACTACTCTCGTAAACAACAGCTACATTCGCAAATAAATAAATAAAGACACGAAGATTTTTTTGGTTTTACTGATCATTCAGTTCCTCCGAGTCTTGCGACCAGAGGAAGAAGCGGCTGGAGCGTTTGCGTTTGAGGCGTTTTCGTGGTTGAAATCAAGAAGAACGGTGCTTTTGCATTTAGGGCATTTAGGGTCGTCTTGTGAGAGCATAACGTACATGAGACAACGTGGACACCCGACAAGTACCATCGAGCTTGTCTCTGGACTTGTTGAGTATCTCACAGAGGTCTCATCCTGGTTCATCTCTGAAGAGACGCACGAGCTTTGCGGTGAGGTAGGTGAAGTCGTCGCAGAGCGGCTTGGAGATCGAACAACCCTCCTCCTGCTTGACGTAGGCTGCGAAAGATTCAGCTTCAACTCGGGCTTTGGACTTCTTCGACTCATTTTCTGCGTTAAATTAGATAAAAAATATATATATTTCAGACAAGAAGAGATTAAGTTTAAAATGAGTTTGGTCGGAGAAAAAAATACCTTAAAACCTGTGGATTTGAGAAGCAGAGTTTCCTGTGATCTCAAAGACTTTCTGTACTTTAGTCACAAAGAGTTTATCTTCTAAATGGTGTTTGGGTTGCTTCAGCTTAGGTCTTTATATACAAGAAAGAACACATAACAGAGAGAGAGAGATAGATATTTCATTAAGGCTTAACTTAATGTTGAGTGAGAGAGAGAACCATAAAAATTGAATTGAAGTATATACACTACTAGAAATCAGACGTTTTAAGTGCTTTAATTTTGCCTCAGGAGTGTCGAGTTTTAGTTACTTTTCAACTTCAAACCAGTAATTCTATATTTAAAACAATGTACTTAATAAATACACAATAAAATCTGTAGCTATTTGCAGGAATCCAATTCAATGCTTGTTAAATAGAGGAGGAGGAAAGAACAAGAGAGGTGTTTAATGGCTTAAATCAAATTAAATACTCAACCATTATTTATTTTTATTTTTTCGTAGGATTTAATATATGAAACCAATAAATTAAATTACAACCAACTTGAATTAGATGTTTATAATAAAAACTTGAGAAAATAAATAAAATTCATAATTTCAGAAGTAAAAAAATGTACAGTCAAAGAAATTTAATTGAAATTAAAGAAAAGCAAACAAAATTAAATGGCAACACATCAGAATAGGTACAGAGAACCTCAAATACAGGCAAATATATAAAGTGAAACCACCTTCCTGGCCTTAGTTTTATTATAAGTGTTATGAGAGGGAGACAAAAGAATAAATTTTCAATTCCAAACCTACCCATCAATATTTACAAAAATATCGAATTTACTCTCCCTAGTCTCATTATGTACTAGACATTGAGGATGATATGAGAGTTTGAGAAATAATAAACCCCATGAAGGGTTTCAAGTGAGTCCAATGTGGGTGGATCTTAAAGCTCTCAGTTGTGTCTATTGTTAGATATCAGATTATTTGACAGATTATCTGAGTTTAGTACTCAACTAACAAACTAATACCAATACTATTTTGGTCAAATTCAAGATCTTATGAATGAATTTGTAATGTTTGTTGTAGTAATATTCTTCTCAGTCTCTATATGATTAATGGTAAGAGCACCCTCATTGAAGGTTCATGGGGGAGTTCACACGGAAATCAAGAAAATAAATAATAAAATAATAAAAAAGCTATTTTTTCTAGTTAAATACTCTATATACTATTTACCATCTTTCATGTTGTTTAAAAAATACCTAAACCCACTCCAAATATTTATATATGTTTGCTAAACTTATATTTATGGTACATGTTAATCATTTCAAATTTTCCAATAATTAATTTATTTAACATTCAAATACCACTTAATATGTGGATTAACCTCAATAAAAATCCAATTTTCTAGAGAAACGAAAACATTTAAGGTCTCAAACCTATTTAATATTCATACTATGGCGGTGTATGATGCATCTATGCATTAAAACAAAAGTTCTATTTTTTATAAAAATTTTGAAATATGTGGGCTAACCACTATGAAAAACATGAATTTTCTAGTTAAATACTATATATATACTATTTACCATCTTTCGTGTTGTTTAAAAAATACCTAAACCCACTCCAAATATTTATATATGTTTGCTAAAATTATCTTTATGGTACATGTGAATCATTTCAAAATTTCCAATGACTAATATATTTAACATTCATACACCACTTAATATGTGGATTAACCCCAATAAAAATCCTATTTTCTGGAGAAACGAAAACATTTAAGGTCTCAAACCTATTTAATGATCGTACTATGGCGGTGTATAATGCATCTATGCATTAAAACAAAAGTTCAATTTTTTATAAAATTTTTGAAATATGTGGGCTAACCACTATGAAAAAGCTGAATTTTTTAGTTAAATACTTTATATACTATTTACCATCTTTCGTGTTATTTAAAAAATACTTAAACCCACTCCAAATTTTTATATATATTTGCTAAACTTATCTTTATGGTATATATGAATCATTTTAAATTTTCCAATGATTAATTTATTTAACATTCAAATACCACTTAATATGTGGATTAACCCCAATAAAAATCCAATTTTCTAGAGAAACGAAAACATTTAAGGTCTCAAACCTATTTAATATTCATACTATGGCGGTGTATGATGCATCTATGCATTAAAACAAAAATTCTATTTTTTATAATTTTTCTTGATAACCCCTATGAAAAACCTGAATTTTCTAGTTAAATACTATATATACTATTTACCATCTTTCGTGTTTTTTTTAAAATACCTAAACCCACTCCAAATATTTGTATATTTTTTCTAAACTTATCTTTATGGTACATGTGAATCATTTCAAATTTTCCAATAATTAATATATTTAACATTCATACACCACTTAATATGTGGATTAACCCCAATAAAAATTTATTTTCTCGAGAAACGAAACATTTAAGGTCTCAACCTATTTAATATTCATACTATGGCGGTGTATGATGCATCTATGCATTAAAACAAAAATTCTATTTTTTATAAAAATTTTGAAATATGTGGGCTAACCACTATGAAAAAGCTGAATTTTCTTGTTAAATACTTTATATACTATTTACCATATTTCCTGTTGTTTAAAAAATACCTAAACCCACTCCAAATATTTATATATGTTTGCTAAACTTATATTTATGGTACATGTGAATCATTTCAAATTTTCCAATAATTAATTTATTTAACAATCAAATACCACTTAATATGTGGATTAACCCCANAAGGTCTCAAACCTATTTAATGATCGTACTATGGCGGTGTATGATGCATCTATGCATTAAAACAAAAGTTCAATTTTTTATAAAATTTTTGAAATATGTGGGCTAACCACTATGAAAAAGCTGAATTTTCTAGTTAAATACTTTATATACTATTTACCATCTTTCGTGTTATTTAAAAAATACTTAAACCCAGTCCAAAATTTTATATATATTTGCTAAACTTATCTTTATGGTATATATGAATCATTTTAAATTTTCCAATGATTAATTTATTTAACATTCAAATACCACTTAATATGTGGATTAACCCCAATAAAAATCCAATTTTCTAGAGAAACGAAAACATTTAAGGTCACAAACCTATTTAATATTCATACTATGGAGGTGTATGATGCATCTATGCATTAAAACAAAAATTCTATTTTTTATAATTTTTCTTGATAACCCCTATGAAAAACCTGAATTTCTAGTTAAATACTATATATACTATTTACCATCTTTCGTGTTGTTTAAAAAATACATAAACCCACTCCAAATATTTATATATGTTTGCTAAACTTATCTTTATGGTAAATGTGAATCATTTCAAATTTTCCAATAATTAATATATTTAACATTCATACACCACTTAATATGTGGATTAACCCCAATAAAAATTTATTTTCTCGAGAAACGAAACATTTAAGGTCTCAACCTATTTAATATTCATACTATGGCGGTGTATGATGCATCTATGCATTAAAACAAAAATTCTATTTTTTATAAAATTTTTGAAATATGTGGGCTAACCACTATGAAAAAGCTGAATTTTCTTGTTAAATACTTTATATACTATTTACCATATTTCCTGTTGTTTTAAAAATACCTAAACCCACTCCAAATATTTATATATGTTTGCTAAACTTATCTTTATGGTACATGTGAATCATTTCAAATTTTACAATAATTAATATATTTAACATTCATACACCACTTAATATGTGGATTAACCCCAATAAAAATCATATTTTCTGGAGAAACGAAAACATTTAAGGTCTTAAACCTATTTAATATTAATACTATAGCGGTGTATGATGCATCTATGCATTAAAACCAAAATTCTATTTTTTATAAATTTTTTGAAATATGTGGGCTAACCACTATGAAAAAGCTGAATTTTCTAGTTAAATACTTTATATACTATTTACCATCTTTCCTGTTGTTTAAAAAATACCTAAACCCACTCCAAATATTTATATATGTTTGCTAAACTTATATTTATGGTACATGTGAATCATTTCAAATTTTAATAATTAATTTATTTAACATTCAAATACCACTTAATATGTGGATTAAGCCCAATAAAAATCAAATTTTCTAGAGAAACGAAAACATTTAAGGTCTCAAACCTATTTAATATTCATACTATGGCGGTGTATGATGCATCTATGCATTAAAACAAAAGTTCTATTTTTTATAAAAATTTTGAAATATGTGGGCTGACCACTATGAAAAACCTGAATTTTCTAGTTAAATACTTTATATACTATTTACCATCTTTCGTGTTGTTTAAAAAATACCTAAACCCACTCCAAATATTTATATATGTTTGCTAAACTTATCTTTATGGTACATGTGAATAATTTCTAATTTTCCAATGATTAATTTAATTAACATTCATATACCACTTAATATGTGGATTAACCCCAATAAAAATTCTATTTTCTTAAGAAACGAAAACATTTAAGGTCTCAAACCTATTTAATATTAATACTATAGTGGTGTATGATGTAGCTATGCATTAAAACAAAAATTCCATTTTTGATAATTTTTCTTGAAATATGTGGGCTAACCACTAAGAAAAAGCTGAATTTTCTTGTTAAATACTTTATATACTATTTACCATATTTCCTGTTGTTTAAAAAATACCTAAACCCACTCCAAATATTTATATATGTTTGCTAAACTTATATTTATGGTACATGTGAATCATTTCAAATTTTCCAATAATTAATTTATTTAACAATCAAATACCACTTAATATGTGGATTAACCCCA